TTTATATTTATAATGATCTTTAATAAACTAAAAATGTACATTTTGGTCGAACTCTTTTTGCCATTTTTCCGCTAGAATCCTTATTTCATCAGTGAAAAATTTTTCTGGTTTCTTGGCGCAAAACTGCGACAAGTTTCACAGGCTTCTCTTAAAGACAACTTTACTCCATTAAGGGAGTTCTACATTGACCGAAACAAATGGTAGTCCGATGGTGCAAGGTCAGGACTATGTGGTGGATGCATCAAAACTTCCCCAGACCAGCTCTTCCAGGTTTTGCCGAGTCTTCAAAGATGTATGTGGTCTAGCGTTGTCCTGAATGAAGACGAGGTCCTTTCTGTGGATCAGTTCTGGCCGTTTTTTCTATTACTTGCTTCAATCTCATCAGTTGTAAAATGTAGAATCAATCGTGTCGAGTCAATCGTTCGATCAGGCCAAACCCACCAATCACTCCGCATAACCCTACGCGGCGTCAATCCTGGCTTTGCGACCATCTGTTGAGCTTGATCCACTTTTCGTCTCCTGTTATCATTCGCTTTAGAAATGATTCGATTTAATTTCGTTTCGGCAAAGAATCGCAAATATTAATTCGGTCCATCAAATTTTTCACAGGCAATTCATGTGCTAACCAAACATCGAGCTTCTTTTTGCAGTCAGCGTGTTTTAAATGGTTCAAAACCTTTGTTTGGTGAATGTTAAGTTCCTTAGCGATGTCATGGCTGTTTATGTGACGGTCCTGGTCAATCTTTTCCATAATTTTTCCATAATTTCATGGACTTTTTCAACGATAGGTCGACCACAGCGAGGTGAATCTTTCACATCGAAATTTCCAGAACGGAAGCGAGCGCACCATTGTTGTACTACACGAACTGATACAGCATCGTATCCGTAAACTTCAATTTCATTGGTCTTCCCTTTTTTAAGCAAAAACTTCGGTTCTGCTCCACGCTCAGAACGTTCTTGGCGTTTGTGGATCACTCCATCAAACTTACAATTCAATATAACTTACTTAGGGAAGTCAAAATGCAATGCTCCCAATTTTTCGCCGGTCTACTGTACGCTACTATCAAAGACTTTTGTCACGGTTTTTCGCAACATGAATTTGTACTTTGCACAAACTGATGAACTTTCATGGATTTAATTGCAATTGCAAATGTTGCTCGTGCGCAACAGTCTTCCAGCGACAATAGATGCGTCTGCTAAGCGCCGCTCGCGGGCCTTTGTGGCTCTGTTGCGTGTGCCTCAGATGATTATTCGTGCTTTCCGCCTTCTTTGCTGTCAACTCAGATCTGTAAAAGTATGCAAATTGTGTTGTTGTTGTTGCATTGTGTCGCTGCCACAGTGCATGTTGCATAATTACTCTGCTGACCCTAATCGCGCTCGAAATAGACGCGCTTACTGCGTCGCACAAATATCTCTGACAAAGCAGGCAGCAGCAGAAATAAAAGCAGACAACAACATGAAAAGCAAACGCTATGCGAACTGTTACTGTCATGTAATTAAAGCAACAACAACAAGGAATTACGTGCACTTTCAACTCTAATTCCTTGCGTGGCAGCGGCACGCAACGGCATTTCGGGCGCTCATATGCATCGCCTGTTGTTGCTGCCGCGCATTGTTTGTGATGCAGCTACTTGTTGTTGTTTTTTTTTTCATTTTCCACCTAATACGCCATGAATCGGCTTCCACATGGCGAGCAGAAGTGGCACATTCCGCGCTGGTGCCGCCATAGCCAGCGAATTTTTGCTGTTTTTGTTGTTGTACGCTGCTCCTAATGCCTGCCGCCTGCTTGCCAGTGTCATCCGTGCGCGCCACGCACCAATTCCTCAACACGCATTTTCAAATATTAAAGCACACACACACACACACACACTGATGCAACATATGCATGTAAATCTCTTAATTTCCTCATTGCGCGCAAGCAACAGTGCGGCGGGCTGTGAGTGTGTGCGTGTGCTGATGATGCACTCACCCGTTTGCGCCAGCAAGCGCGATTAGGACACAGATTAAGACACCAGCGATTGAACTTTAAGTTCAAATTTAATGGCATTTGCCGAGCGACTGATTCGGGCGTTGACAACGCGTTGTGGCAACATGCATGGCAAGCGGTTGCTGCAGCGGGATCCAGCTCGAACCGTTGGGCCGAGCGCTGGCAGCTTAGAGTTGTTGGTGCCAGATGACCTTACGAACCCTGTTTTTGAAGTTCGCTTGTTTTGTTTGTTGTAATCGCAACGGTTACTTTGTGTGCCGCTTGTAATGCCTCATAATCTTTCGTTTGAATACCAGCCGCAGTTGTTTTTGTAGTCATGTTAAATTCGAAAAATAATGAAATTATTTCCCTCCTCTTTATGGAAGAATTCCTAGGCTCTGAGTATTTATTGGATTTGATTTGAGTTTCTGACACTTTTACACGCACACAAAGATTGAGAGCAGTATTCATGTATGTATGTATGTATATGTTTATTTATATGTGTGAGCTATAATCGCTGACCTATATAAAATATGATGCTTCAATGAATGTGTCGCACACACACGCACACTTTAAATAGAAATATTTTCCAATTTTTAATCAATTTTCAAATTTCACAAGTTCTAGGGGTGGGGTTTCCTTGAAGCTGTTTCAGCTTTGACACTTCGCAGACCTTATGGCTTAAAATCTTTTGTTAAGTCGCAACTACAAAGATCTGTTTAACTTCTGATTTATGGAACACGTTCCTCGAGAGCTTTAATGTGATAGAAGCAAAGTGATGCGAAGTTATACATACATATGAATTATACACATTCCGACACAAAATCTACATATATTTTACTTATTTAAGTGAATAAGAAGCATGTATGCTCATTTGAAGATAAGACTTCGTCGTTCTAAAACTCGTACAATGCTTTAGTGGGAGATCCAAGTAGAGTAATTGAAGCCGTTCGATCTTTCCAGATGTCATCGCTTCACTCTATGTGCTTTTGAAAAGCACATCATATTCGGATGATGAAAGAAGATACGACGTTTTCGAGCCAAATTTTATTCAGTGATGATGGACCGTTGGAATCTTAGGTCCACATTCCTTCAAAAATGATGCCGATGAGAACGTAACCGTTAATGGCAAAGGCGATCGTTATCGCGCCATGATAACCGACTATTTGCCTGAAATTGAAGCTCGGGATCTATGGATTTATTGATAGAACACTACGGTGAGCAGATAATTTCACGTTTTAGGCCGGTCGATTGCCCCCAAGATCGTATAATATTTGCTGTGGGGATATGTAAAATCTAAAGTCTATGCGACAATCCCCATTCGATCAAGGCCCTGGAGCAAAACATCACGCGTGTTATTCGCGAGTTACCAGTCAAAACACTCGAAAGAGTCATTGAAAATTGAAGTCAATAAATGGAACGTCTAATCCTCAAAAATTTCAAAGAATCCTCTTTCGACTGATAATAAGCATTCCGATTAAATTTGAAGTTTCGGTGTTTTTCTTCAAAAAAGTGGGGAACCTCGAAATGGATCCCTATGAGCCAATGATATTCGGATGATGAAGGGTCTGAATTTGTATTACAGAATCTGAGATTTAGGTGGCATTAGTTTCGAAAAATATAAATACAAATACAAATTGATTAATTAATATACATTAGTTTTACTTCTTCTGGAATATCCAAATGCCTAAACCACATCGACTACTAGTACCACTACTTGAATCTAACTTACAACTACTTGAAACTGTTGTTACTCTTTGGATATACACACAAATACAAAAAATGTTTCGCGAATTCACAGGATTTCATTTTATACTGGATACGTGCGTAAAAATTATGAAATTTGTAACTGAACACGAAATACATTTTCAATGAAAAGGGAAAATGCGCCGTCTCCAATAGATACAAACGCATAAGTACACACACAGCCGTGCAAGACTCGGTTAAGTTCTTTCCATTGTTCGAGAGTTGAAAATTTCATGCTCGTGATTTTTGTGGCATTTCTACCCTTGATCGCCACAGGCAGGCACAACAACAATCAACGAGAAATTTGAAGCCATAAAGCCAAGTCGCATTCGACTGATGGCGGTTGACTATATGGCACGTACATACATATGTACAAACGTATGTATGTATGTATATGCTGACTAACTGAGCGACTGACTTGACTGCCTGCCGTTTTAACGTTGGAGTGTTGTCTACTAAGCGCGCTACCTACTTTCAGGTTATGTTTACCAAAACGTCAAACCTTCGCAAATGACAGGGAAAACCAATGAAGGAATTTCTTTTTGGTTGTTTGAAATTTTGCCAACGGAAAACTACGCGCTTGCAACTTCTCGCTTTCYAATGCCTTGTTTTTTGTCTTCTCGCTACCTGAGTGAAAGGTAAACGCAAAGGACATAAATAATTGTTGTGTTTGGCTGTAAACGAGTGAGCCTGTGTGGAGGATTACGTGTATTCTGTTGAACTGAGAGCAGCTCTTTCAGCGCTGCTTGCCTTGTATTGAAAATAGAAACATTCCCTGAAAGAGGATTTGAAAGGATCAACGCGAATGCTAAGCAGTCTTGCAAGCGCTTCTATAAACAGAGGTTGTGCACGTCTTCGCATCGCCATTAGTGATATATTTATTGAAGAAATTGCTTACTTTCTGTGATTTAAACGAAAGCTTCATAAAAACTCTCTAAATAATTTACATATGTGAAAAGGTGTGTTAAAGTTAATCAGAAAAGAACCACGATTCGAAACTCCCGCGCTCATCTTTGAGGATTCCAAAACTAATTAACAACATTGTGAACGAAGAGAATCATACTTTGGYGGCCATTTTTATTTTAATTAATGGTAGTGATTTTTGGATTCATTTTAGGCAACTATGTCAGTTTTTAAATGTTTTCGAAAAACAGCTGATTTAGTTTTGTTGTTTAAATAACAGTAAAAAACACTCATTTGTACCCACAAAACCAGTTTTTGAAGACATAGTACGGATCAGTCTCAATGAAATAGTAAATAATGTATTATCATTGCTTATTACTTTCAGATATTTTCCATAAAACTGTCGTACGAACTCAAGAGACTTGCGAAACCCGCCAAATTTTAACTCAACTCTCACCAAATCTCAAACAAACAACCCTCGTTTAGATATTTATAAAAAATCGGCAGCATAAGCACCGATAACACACAGAAAGATCAACGAATAGCAGCACAAAGCATGGGCGAGCTGGAAGAGAAGGAGACAGGACCATCAGAAACTACAACACAACAAGAGGCAGTTGACGAACCGAAAGAAACCGACAAAATGCTCGAGAAAAAAGAGGATGCCGATGGCGCAGAGCAGCAAACAGAAAATGTCGGCGCAAAAGATAAGAACCCAAGTCCAAACACGGAGAAGAAAAAGTCAGCCAACTCAAAACCAACAACGCCAACACCCAGTACTAAAAAGTCGCCAACWCAATCGGTGGAGAAACTGTCCGCTGGCACTGACGCTGAAGCACAGCCGGTGAAGGCGAATGGTGGTAGTGGTGAGGAGATAATTGACATACCGGATGCCGCTAAAACTGAAGAGGGCGATGAAAAGAAGATCTCCACTGAAGATCGTGAGGTCAAACCGATGAAGATACCGATTGGTGGCTTGAAATTACCCGGTTTCTTTATGAAAAACAAACCCAAGGCTGATGGTGACGGCGCTGATGGCGAACTTTTGGAGCGAGAAAATAAAGATGAGGTGCCAACCGAGGCGCCAAACGGCGACGGCAAACCGAAGAAAGAGGAAAAGCCGCGTAGTAATTTTGGTGAGCGCTTGCGCAACTTTTTCGTGCGYAAACCGGCTGCCGAAAAGCAACAGAACAAACAAACAGCAAATGGCGATGCCGATGCGAAGAGTGGTGAGTTTGCAGCACAAAACATGGTATTTARTTTCGTTTTCTAGACATATAGCTTTTTTTTATGATCTTCAGAAGCTACCGCTGAGGCAGCAGCTGCTGATGGTGAGACAAACAACGCATCGGATGCGGTGCCACAGAAACGCGGTCTTTTGAAYGCCATCAAATTGCCGATTGCCAATATGATACCGAGAAAGCGGACGGATGACGATGTGGAACTGGGTATGGGCAAAGCAGGACTCGCYTCAATGGAGACGCTCGATGACTCGTTGAAAGATCAAGATTGTGTTGATAAAGCGCCCGCTAGGAACAATGGCACCGAAGATCCTGTGAAACTGAAGAAAACCCCAAGTGGTGAAATTAAACAGGAGGGAACGGAAGAGGTGAGTAATCGATATACAGTAGTACATACGAATGTATTTTTATAGTGTTTCAAAAATATACAGCTCACAGTATGATACTAAGTAAAATGTGTTTGGTTTTTAGAAATCTCCCGAGGAGCCTGAAGCACCAATTTCTTTCGCCGAACGCTTGCTTTCATACCGCTGTTCTCCCGATGATGGTCTGATCGTGCTCGGTGTTCTGCTTTTCATCGTTCTCATTGGTGTGATCGGCTATGTTCTCTCTTTGGAGACACTCACCTCACCGCCCGTACGTGAGGGACGTTTCATGGAYGCCGTTACTGGTTGTGGCATGGTTGAGGGACTGCAAGAGGATGGCGCGTTTGCATTCCGTGGCATACCGTATGCCCTACCACCCGTAAATGAACAACGTTGGCGTCCTGCGCAACCCATTGGTGGCATCGATGATTGCTGGAATGGTACCCTGAAAGCGCACAATGTGAGCAATTACTGCACACAGCGATTGGGTAACGGTACCATTGTGGGCGATGAGGACTGTCTGTACTTAGACGTAGTCACGCCACATGTGCGTTACAACAGTCCGGTACCGGTTATTGTGCTGATCGGCGCCGAGACTTTGACTGGTCCATCACCTGGTGTTCTCCGACCATCGGCACGCTATTCACGCTCGCATGACGTTGTGTTTGTGCGTCCSAACTTTCGTTTGGGTGCATTTGGTTTCCTTGCATTGGATGCGCTCACCAAAGATGCCTATCCACGYACTTCGGGCAATTATGCACTCTCCGACATCATTGCCGCGCTAAGGTGGGTTCAACTGAACATCGCACATTTCGGWGGTGATCCCAAAGCCGTGACTTTACTTGGTCATCGCGCTGGTGGTACGCTTGTTTCCGCACTTGTAACCTCYAACAAGATCGAAGGTCTGTATAAGAACGCTTGGGTTTCATCATCGTCGGCCATTTTCCCTGGCAAGCCTTTGGAGGAGTCGGAAAAGCGCAATGAACAATTTGCTAAGTCACTGGATTGCACCGATATCAATTGCTTACGCAGCGCAACGACYGAACAAATTTGGGCCGCCACACCAGACACCTGGTTGCACTTCCCTGCAGACATACCAACCATAGACGAAAATCCCAGTACGCATCATGAATGGCTTGTGTTGGATGGCAGCTTCCTGCAACGTCACCCCGCCGACGCCTGGAAAGAAGAACATACCGGCCAACCGAAACTCGTCATGGGTACAACAGCGCATGAAGCACACAGCGAACAGCTGCGTCAACGTCACGCCAACTGGACTGCCGAAGAGGTACGCGCATTCATTGCAGCCTCGAAAATTGGCGCACTCAATCTAACTGACGAAGCCATACGACTATACAACGCGACAAATTACCGCAACTTAATCGCCATGATTACCGACATACGCACCATCTGTCCGCTCTTAACCAATGCACGTCTGCAACCGTCTGTGCCGTTCTATGTGGTGCAACAAGGTGAGGGAGAGAATCAGTTGGCCACCGTCGATACCGACGTGCTCGCCATACTTGGCCGCTACGAGCCGCATACAGCCGAGCAGCGACGATTCATGTCGTCCATGCAACAGCTGTTCTACTACTACATCTCACACGGCACCGTACCTCAATATGACCCAAGTCGACGAGTGCTGAATATCGCGCAAGATCCATTGCCACAGCAAGATCACCCGAACTGTAATTTTTGGATTAGCCACGATATTGTGCCGCGCTATGCACGTGTCGACTAAGCGGGTCGGTCMAAAKGGCAGAATGACGAGTAACGAAGTATAAGCCGATGTGTTAMGTGAACGAGTAGAGTGTGCGTGGCTGTGGACTTAGAGCGAAATATTTGATACGACAGCAGCAAGAGAAAATGGGAGCCGTGCAGAGTCCAACGTAGCAGCGCATCGACGTTTCATACACAGACTTGCACTCACACACACACATATAAACGAATGCATTTATACGAACTGAACACGTTGAATGACAAGCAGTAGCTCCCAACCAACCCACAAAAACCATATAAAGTATAAAGAAAAGACGGACCACTCATAGGCGTGCTTGGGAAGAATCTAAAAACACAGTGAAAGGTATATGTTGTATGGCGCATGTTTTCTCTGGCGCTTTATATACCGACTTTATATGAAATGTTTACAACTGAATTTCTTCTTTTTATACAATTTTTTTACTCAAAACAAAAACAAAGAAAAGAATGCGAAAGTTTATTTGTTTTTTAGTTTTTTTTTATGCGTAAATAATATGAATTATTAATTATTGAGAATTAATAAAAACACTTAGTGGCTAAGCAATGCTAGTTTTTATATGTAAATTTAATTTAAACAATAAATGAAATTAAATTAAGAGTTAATAAAATTAAATTTATTTTTAAATTTAAACGAAATCATTTGCAGCGAACGCGATTTTTAAATTCATTGATTCGAATCTTTGTGGCRACACTACCGCATACATAAGTTTAAAGTATGATTTTTATACAATATATACATATGYGTAAGTTCGTATTTTATGTAAATTTAGCGTAAACAACAACACAAAACATAAACATACACACACAAACACAAACACTCATATACATACAAAATGCAAATGCGAATAAATTWAAATAAAAATGTGTAAAAATTACTTGAGAAGTGAAAAACCAAAACAAACATGCATTTTCTTATTTCCCTCCTCAACACACGCACTAACACATGCTTGCACACATACTTTGGATACTTCTTTAAATATCTACGTATGTTTAATATGTGAACTTTAAGTGTAAAAGTTCGACTTATGCACCCGCACTTCGACTTAAGCCTGTCGGATATGAATTTGGGTTCTCGAGGATCACATATCGCTTTTCTCAACTTCATCCCTAGCACTTGTGTTCACTTTGTGTGCTTTTAGCTTCCAAAACTACACTGGCGGCTGCGGTTTTGGCGCTCGGCAATGGACCTAATTCCTTGAAGTGATTATGAGACGGAACCAAATGGTCTTTATTCAGATTTTCCATTTTATAATGTTTGGCTGGCGAACGCCGAAATCATCCAAATGCCCAGCTTTTTCACTAAATTTGTTCCTTAATCGTAACATTTGTGTGTGTTCAAAGTTTTGTTGGAATTGCTTCTTAAATAACCATTTTAATCCTCAAGAGGCAGTTAATGTCAGCTGATTACATCAAAATATCCTCTGATCGAACAATGACGTTTTTTGTCTTTTAACCACACACATACACATACCATGTATTGGCTGTCATCATTGCAAGCGCTACAAAACCAACACATTTATTTCATTGCACAACAATATACAAGTCCATAATTTAAATTCTAACTAAATGTAAGTATACAAAAAATACAAATTCGGTATATAAAGGAGATCAAAGCGAAATTTAACACCTAACAGAAATAAGTGAAATTTTGAGACTGCATTTGACACGAATTTAAATTGAAAACATTTTTGCTATTTTAAATAAATTTCCATCATTTATGTACTAAATAAATTCAATTCAAAAATAATTATATTTAAGTGCATTGTGAGTCTGTATTTATACAAACATATACGAGTGTGTAAGCAAATATTCAGTAAAAAGATTCATCTCCAATATCTCATTAGCATGTATGGTGCATATGTATATACATACAAACATTTGATCAAAGTAGATATATGAAAAGCAGTTGACATTCCTGAATCCTTTCTAGCTTTAGTAAATATACTCACTCTCAAAACTATTCACCTAGCATGAAAACACAAATTCTATTTGTAAAAAATAAAAATAAAAATTTGTTATATTTGTATGCATATTTGCTTGTATTACAGAAATAAATGGTATAGACAAAAGAAAACATATTAATTAGTATATAGAAGGACTTTAACTCCTGTCTCTTATACACATCTAGATGTGTATAAGAGACAGGTATAGACAAAAGAAAACATATTAATTAGTATATAGAAGGACTTTTTATTCAACTATTAAACTCTAGATATAACTCTGAGAGTTTTGTTATCATTATTGTTATACTTTTTACCCTGAATAGGGTATATTAAGTTTGCCACGAAGTTCTAACACCGAGACGAAAGAGAAAACGTCGGACACCTGATAAAATAAACATGTAAACAATCAGCGTGACGAGCTGAGTCGATTTAGTAGTGTCCGTCTGTGTGTATAAAATCGAACTAGTCTCTCAGCTTTTGAGATATCGATCTAAAATTTTTGCACACGTACCTTTCTCTCCAAGAAAATTCACTTTTATCGAAACAGCCAATATCGGACCACAATATCATAACGCTGCAACACAAAGTAAACAATCGAAAATCAAGATAAAGATTTCATATATACCCTTTATGCTACAATATATGCGCCTGTGAAGGGTATTATAGCTTCGGAGCAGCCAACAAACGAAGGTCAACTTTAGTGCCCAAGCAAAAGTTCCCTCGCATACAAGAAGTATCAGTATTTTTGTTTGAGTTAATTGTGAACACATATTCTTTTGTATCGGTAGAAAACATTCCTGAAGTAGCTTCAAGGAATGTTCTGGATAAAAACCCGGGTCCGTATCAGTATCAGTATTTTTGTTTGAGTTACTTGTGAACACATATTCTTTTGTATCGGTAGAAAACATTCCTGAAGTAGCTTCAAGGAATGTTCTGGATAAAAACCCGGGTCCGTTCCCGTCGGGCTATCTCTCCGACATTTCTCTCTTCTTCTCTGCAAGGAGCTTGACGCTCTTCCCGACTAAATTCACAGCGACCGTATTCATGAACTAAACAAAGGAGTATTGACAGGAGCTTAGCATTACAGCCCATGGCTGACTTTCAATAATTCTAAAAATTGAAGTGTCACATTTGACAGCCTGTGCTTCTTCACTCAGCACCGTTACAAAATCCTGAAGTCGCTGGCCGCCAGCTYATGAAGAAAAGACAAGGAAACGCTGTTGGCAACATAGAAGTCAACAAGTCGGCTGGTCTTAAACTATACCGCACCGATGTAGTGTCCTAGATGTAGTGAAACGCAGACGAAGAAGTTCAGGCATGTCAGAATACTGCACTCCGGACTAACACAGGATGCCTTTTGAAATCTCCGAGCGATCTTTTGGACAGCGAGGACAAAATGCTTCGGTTACTAAACATAACGAAGCGGACCCGCCTTTTGGGAACATCAATATGTCCTTCTTTGACTACGTCACCGACCAGACTTCGAACGCAACTCTCTTCAAACATAGCTATGGAGACATCTATTCCAAAGCAATCCCATCGGTGTGGAACTAACCGCAAAAGCTCGGATTGCTCTTGGAGCAGCTGAAACACAAGTTGTCATTAGTGATTTTCCCTTTCAAACGACCGTTACGTAGTAAATGTTAATTATGATATAAATGTAGTTTTTATGTTCACATTCAGTCTGAGCAAAATTTTATTACCATATTTTATGAGAATTCAATAGTCTTTTATGCTTAATCTTACGTATGGCTATGTAGACTTTGTGATCACAAAATATCATTTGGTGGAATGAGTTGGTGTAGAAATTGGATGTGCAGACTTCGTAAAAAAYCTCGATAAGGACTAAGCTTAAGCTAACATTAAGGAAACGATCTATTTATGATAAATATAATGGATTTTTAGGTATCAATAAATACGTATTTATATATTAAATGGCAAAAAAAAAAAGCAACATAATTAAAACACAAAGCGACCTAATAAAATACTAAAAATAATTCAGATTCGCAATTGCGCACTAAGTGTCTGACGACATCAGCTTGTACATGCGGCATTTAGTATCGGAGAGACCAGCCAAGTATGTTGTGTCGCTCGTGTAGACAGGGCATATGTCATATATAACCTCTTGTGCGGGCATTGTTTGGATTCGCTGTTCGCGACGCACATCGAACAATGCCAACTGTTTGACATCCTGAATGTAGCCTGCTACCAGCGTATTCGCTTCGACTGCAACTTGCGCACAACGTGTCATAACTGGCGTAGCTTTGGAGCCGTGAAATGTGACTTTCACATTGAGYGTTGTAGTATTGTCCACCTTTTCCAAACGCCCGACAATATACCGTGACTGTGGGTGGCGCACACTACACCGGGCCGATACTAGCAGCGTTTCATGAACGGCATCAAAGCGCATGGAAAAGAAGGGACCATCTAAAGGAAGACGAGTAGCAATAGTTATGATGCCGCTATCAGTGTATTCATAGAACCAAAGTGATTGCAGTTTGCAAACWAGAAAGCCACCATGAGGAAAATCATTGCATGGAGATACACTGGCCACATTAATCACAGTGCTTAAATCACCTAAAAACGTAAAAATTGTAAAAATTTTGCAACAACAATGAGAAATTTCAACTCACCCTCAGTTTTATATTCCTCCAAAATGTTTTCAGGGAAACGCATATCATACGTGTATGTGCTGCCACTGGAGGAACCCAAATACAGTACATTTACTCGATCTTTGCGGTCCATAGCGCATGCCCACACCATTTTATCACCTGGTTCGTATGTGGAAGCCACTTGACGGTTGCGCAAATCGAACAATTTGGAACGTGTTTCCATGCTGGCCACAGCCAGAAGCTGTTGATCAGCACTTAAGCAAATATCTCGCAGTAATTTCGACGACGCATGCAAGAATGTTGAGGTACGGAATGTTGGCATATCGATGAAGCGCACGCCATATCCAGGAAATAGACCTTGAGCGCTTTTCTGTGAGGCCAAAATACACGAATGCTGTTCAGCATGTATTAATACTCGGCAGCCAGCCTCGCGTGTCAACTCAATTGTACGCTCGAGATAAATCCGTTGCATTTGGAGTCTTAGCAATTGCTTGTTTTTGGCGAAGCTGGATTCATAGCTGAAACTATTGACACCACCATTTCGTAGGATTTGTTTCATGCGATCATTTTCTGCTTGAAGGTTTTTCATTTGTATGGTTACCAATTGATGTGCCATTTTTAAAGCGGATACTTCTGTTTGTAAGGATTGTGAGCGGCAACGCTCTATCTCAAGCTGATCGCGTAAACGATGCTCTTCGCTGCGATCGATTGCTCTTACACGCTTAGCGTACAAACAACGTATATCGCGGATTGCCGCCTTTGCCTTGCATTGTGGACAAGCCTTATTGCCCGACTGGCGTGCACTCTCGGCCAACCAGCGGCGAATGCAGGAATCCCCGAAGAGATGTCCGCAGCGCAAGGACACTAGACGGTGTTCACCTGACATCTCCCAGTTGTCGAGGCAAATAGGGCATATTAAACCTTCGTCTTCCTCATCTTCATCAATACCGTTGCCGTCGCTGGATTTTASCCGCGGTGTATTCGAYTTTGGAGTGCCTGTACTGAGTCGYTTTCGCTTCTTTGGTGGCGATGGAGAAACCAAATTTACCGTTGAAACTTCGTTGTTGGGCATGTCAATAGCCGCAGAATCTGCGCCAATACTAGGGCCTGGCAAAGCATCAAGTGGAGTAGGTTCTAGTCCAACAGCTAAACAATATTATAAACGTGATTACATTATACATATGTATATATTATTAATAATGTCTTTATAGTACCAATTTCAGATCCTCCGTCACTTGTTGGTCGTTCCTGACGCAAAGGTTCTGTAAGCATTTCCTGTGCTTCTTCAGCAAGGTCATTAACTTCCTCCTCAACTTCAGCAGCATCTTCATCAACGTTGTTGTCTTCATCATGGCTGTTTGCTTGCTCCTCCGATTGCTCAGTATTGGGCTCATTTTCAGCRACATCTGCGACTTCCTCGCTTAGCGCTCTTAACGAGCTATAGTCATGGTCGGTATTACCTACTTGTCCGCGTCTTAAACGTGTTCTCCTTCTTGTATTGTTCAATTCTATATTGGAGTCGTCGCTAGAAGTAGAGCGTGTACGACGAGCGACGTAATTGTGATCTCCCTGCGATTCACCGTGTGAGTTTTGCATTTTATCGCCGAAATAAAACTCTCGTAGCGAATGATTTCATATAAATTTGTATATAAATTAGTTACTTTTTCGTAGACATCGAAGATGCTCAAGAAAATATATAATTTTCAGGACTTTGATTCAAAAGCAGCGGTGGTAGCACAGTGTTGCACTTTCAAAGTTCAAAATGTCCTCTTAATTTCAGCAGATAAGAATATGTATTACTATATTATTAATTAATATCAATTGTTGGTTTGGATATATTAGTAGGTACTTTAATATGCCGTGTTTAATACTTATTTCGCTTATTCTTAAATTCAATTCAAAACAGAATCTAAATATGTTTGACGTTAGATACATATATTTCGAAACTRGCGAATAAATCAGCTGTCGTTTATTCGCCGCCGATATAAAACCAGAATTTGTTAGTTACGAAAAAATAGGGAAAAGTTTTTTTGGCAGTGCTATTCTAAATAATAATTACTATATATTTTACATATTATTCGTTATCATTTATTAATATTTAAAATAATAGGATTAACCGAAACAAATTGTTGTGTAAAATATTATGAATTAAAAATGACGGCTCCTAAAGGCAAAAATCATTTCTACTGTTAATTTTGACGTTACTGTCTTATTTATTTTTACATCAACATGGCAACATTCTCGAAGTAATTTCGCAAAGCCGATTGTCAATTTCAGCGCAAAAAAAAGCCAGAGCTTAGTTTAATTGCATTGGAATTTTTCAATATTCTTCCGTTATTTCTCGATTGAAATTATAAAAGTTAGTGAATTACTCATTACTAAATAAAATCAAGTGATTTGTCGTATAMAAGCCAGCAAACATTACTGCCCTAACCTGCAGATTTCTGTTCACAGGTGTGACACCCGCCCCAACGCCGCCTATCTTGAAACTTTCGAGTACTTAATTGAAACTGGTATTCCCCTAAACCTCGCCTTCAGAAAGTGAAATTTTGTACGCTGCCCAGAAACATATTCGATATATTAGAAATACCATCTGGTAGAAGGAAAGCAGCACAGAACGAAAATATGTCCCAGTTGAATACACCTGAAAAAGATGCGGCTGGCAAACCCCCTACTAATCGGCAACATAGTACGCACAGCCCAAATTTGACTTTGCAGCTTCCCAGTCCCATTATTACAAAACGCACACGCACTGCTTCAACGTGAGTTACTGTTTTATAATATATGTATTTCAAAGAGCGAATGTATACAGGTTTACATTTGAAAATATTCAAATTATATTATCTTAACAGCTTTCGATTATTTTCTTATAACTTTTGTTAAACACTAATTTCGGAAAGAATTTTTGTATGATGTATGTATATGTTTGTATATATACCTATAGGTCGGCTCGTGCCTTAGAAAATCCAATTGAAACAGGAATTGTTAAGGCATTTAGTCGTTCGAAGGGACATGGTTTCATTTCACCAAAATCGGGTGGTGAAGAGCTCTTCTGTCATGTTTCTGAGTGAGTAAAAATTTAATTTTGAAGTCTTTTCACATATCACATGAAATCAAATTGCAGTATTGATGGTGAATATGTGCCACARCCAGGTGATGAAGTAAGGTACCGCCTATGTGCAATTCCGCCAAAATTCGAAAAACACCAAGCAGTACATGTACAAATTATCAACTTAACACCAGAAGTTCATCAGAAGTGGGAGGAGCCTGTCTACCCCGATTCTCCTGCTCAGTAAAGTGTTGCTGAAACGGCAATGTATTAATTGTGCACTCTTCATGTCACAAAAATCCTTGGCCAGTGGTAAAAATAAGTATATAGTTAAATATTTCTTAAAAATACCGAAATTTGCCATTAAAATAGGAGGTTAACAAATTTTATATGATCAGCTCACACATTTAAAAATTAAATTTTACACCTTTTACTGCAACAATAAGAGCGCCCGTAGAAATAAAACATCGAAAATCATTCAATTAAAAAACAAAAACTCAATAGACTGCAGGGAACAATGCACACAGTTTGCATTTTTTTTTAATTATAGGAAATATTTAATTAAAACCGGAACATCCGCAAAGTGAAATTCAAACAAATTCTGTTTTAAAAGTAGAAAAGGAAATCATTGTGTGTTCAGCTTAACTGTATCGTAATAGTGTAAAATAACTCTGCGGCGTGAGTCTTGATATACATATACATYTCTATTATTTATTTTCAACATTTCAATAATAATTAATTCTCAAGGGCAGTAGACAATTGCGTCCAGTATTCATGTGCAGAAGTAGTGTCAACATAAGCAAGTAAATAAAATTTAAATTGGCAATGTTAACTTTCTTTTATTCGCTAACGCTGGATTAAAATTGYTGTTCGTTATTAACTGCTATCAGTTAATGTCATTTTTAATATTGTTTCCTCAAATAAATCTGGGTGTCGCTCAATGCTTCAAATAACTTATCTAAACCGTTTTAAATTCAATACTCTGTTATTATTATTAAATTAAAGTAATATCTCAAATAATAATACTAAATATCTTAATGGCATGCTGAAATGTTATTCAGGTTAATTTATTAACTGAAATTTCCGTATAAAACAATCATACTTACATAGCTAGTGTTTGTACTTTATGCTACTCTTCTTGATGAAAAATAAAATAAATAAAGAAAACTATTTTTTCTTTTTAACTCATATATCCTATTTGAATTTATGAATGGTATAGTTCCTAATGCGTTTTTTTCATCCTAAAAATTTAATTTGCAGGCAAAAACCTTAGATATCCATTGTAGGAGTTTCATATAAATATGTATTTAGCTTAGATCTGATCCATGTGAAAGTTTGAAGTGATTTTGAGCACCCTAATTGGTTTGGATATTAGCTTTATAAAATACCTATAAACAAAATAGTAGCATTTTGGTGCAACCCTGCAAAATCGAATTTGCCCAACTTCACACAATACACTCATCCGGCATCATGCAGCGCAGTTTGCTTCCTACTGTATTTAATTTAATTTGTATGGGCTGATTAAAGTTAGATAACGTAATTATTTATGTTCGAGTTGTGCTCCATACGCAAATTGTTATTATTTTTACCGAAATTCAGCATATTAGAAAATGAAGTAATAATATTTTGTTTTGAAAACGAAATGTTCGGCAACTACGTTTCTAGGCTGCTGTCATGGTGTCAGAAATGTTGTGAAGACGAAATTGGCAACGCTGTTTTGTTCAGTCTCTGTGTGCGGTTTGTGTGGTGCGTGAAAAATTTTCCCGTTTTGTGTTGGTGGATAGCGGAAACATGAAAACTTGTTCAATCTGATTGTTAATTAATGGAAAAAGTAAATAAGAGAGCTATTATAAGTAAATCTAAGCGAAAAATGTAATACTTTTTCGTAAGTTTATTTACATATAGAATATATAAACATTGTTTGAGAACCCGTGCAGTGAAAAAATGTTGAAAATATTTGTGGCAATACAGTGTGAAAGCGACGAAAACGCAGCATAAAGTGAAAAAACCGAAAAGATAAATAATAAAGGAATTGAGAAAAGTGTTTGTGTGGTCTCGCCCCTTTTTGATGCTGGGAATTGCACAAAATTGTGTGTTGAAAAATATTCAAAATAAAAATTTCAGTTTTTTAAAGAAAATATTTTTAAGTTGCTTTGTATTTTTGAATACTATCTTTTATCCTGTCCATTTTCAATATCTTTACACAACTGGTCATGTACAAAAAAACGTTTGCTGTCGATTTGTGCTTTTCCAGACAACATCCACCGTGCAGCGGCCATAACTTTGTTTCTATTATGTTTATGCGTGTGCGTGTGTCGATGTCCTTTGGCTCGTTTCTTTACATTACTTCCCACTTTTAATGCTTTTCTGCCCTCTGGATATAAATATGTATGCGATATAGATATTTACTTGATAGCTTTATTATGTATTTATTGTTCTACATAAGGATATATTTGGCAAAGTAGAAAAGTTGTATATTTTGACGCAGTAAAACAACAACACTTCTCAATATTTTTATTGTGATTAATTGGCCTTCACTAAAATATCCAAAAACCTAATTTATCTAATGCTGTACAAACAAAATTATAAAATACAAATATTTTGAAAGAAAACTACTTTTTATAAAATTATTATCTCTGATTTTTTTCAATACCAAAATATATTAATACTTTAAAAGCAAAATATTTTGTGTGGAGTGTGTTAAAGGATTGCGCTTTGGCCTCATGCAAAATATTTTTTTTTTTGAAGTAAATAGTTAGTATTAAATGACAAATAAATTTGTTTCTATGCTTAGTAAACATTTTCACTATAAAGACGAAAGTTTTGAATGCTCTCGGTTTTGTGTAAGCGAGGAGAATTCACTGTTGTGGATTTGAGGTGAGTAGAAATTATATGTCTAAATATGTACATATATATATTTAATTGTATTTAGCAGCATATATTAATTACTTGCTCCAGATTACAGACCTTAAAGCTCGCAAATTGTAAAATATTTTGACTAAAATATGAAAAAAGGCATAATTGTATATGAAAGCATATTTCTGTGATAACTTTGTATTTTAAATCATAACTTCATTATTCAAGTTTGTTTAATATCAACCATAAAATAAAGCCTTCATCTCTGGTGGCCTTGTTGGTGTGTCTGTTTGATTTATGTATATAATCATACAATATTTACGTACATTTACATATTTGCAGATGCTCAGCGTAAAAAAATTGATTCTGTAATAATGTATTTATTTAGAAAGAATTTAACAAATATGCCAATTGTGCTATATCGCAACGTCTGCCCTTCTCGATATTGCGGAACAACCATTAGTGAATCTCACATGTGTTTTCACTGCAAACACGCACACATGCATTGTATTCATACAATTTTCCTTTATAAAGTCAATTTGAAGGCAAAACACTTGTACGCACCACTTAATAATTCCTTGCATCAAATAATAATGGTGTCATAATGTCAGTTCGTATTTTATACTTTTATGTATTATTGCTCTGGCTACAGCCGCTTCTCTTGTGGCTACTGCACAGCTGCCTTCGGTGCAATTGAACGCATTGTTATTGCAGTTGTAGACGAATGGGCAATACTGGGAAATGGAATGGAATTAATTCAATCAAAAGCCACCAAATAATGACGGCCTGAAGAAGACATGAAGGGAATGTGGAAAGGAAAAGCGAATAAAGAATTTACTGTTGTAAGCGTTAAATAATTGTTGCAACCTTCTATTTTGTTGTATACATTTTCCCTTATCTTTTCTCGCTCTTTGGCGCTGCAGCATATTGCTGCTGTAGCCATTATTGTTGACTCTTGCTTTGCGTATCAATAAATAAGTCAATGCACTGTTTTCCAGAATTAAGAGTAAATAGTTGTGTTATTTGTTTATGCATCGTGTAGGTATGTATGTTAGTTGACTATATGCTTTATTTGTTGGAGCACTACTGCTTATTAGGTGTATTCCTTATAAACACTTTTATTTGTATACACTGTGTCTTCTGGTATAAGCATTATATTTTGTTTGTTTTTGACTCTATTTGTATTTAACCCTTGTGGCACACATCAGGTTTTCGTTTAAGTTCTTTTTCTCTAAAGAGCTTCGGTTAGGACTTTTGAGCTTTTGTTGTTGCAGCGATACAAAATATTTCTGAACTACTTTTGTAGAATCTAGAAAGTTCTCATCTTAAAAGTCATTGTTTATATATCATATAAAAATCGTTGGGTAGCAACATTTTAATGATTTTGAAATATAAYAATTTTAAAGAGAAAATATGTATGACCAAAATTTTTTAAAAGCATATAAATAATTATTACTAAACAAAGTTTTAATAAWATTTTGGGAAAATATATATTATTAATTAGTACAAATTAAATAAGGGTTAAAGTGGCGTGCTACAAAGTACTCTAATGTAGTTGAATGCATACAATGCTTGTGCTCGATTTTAAAAGTATCGGAATCTAAACATTTAATGCTATAAATATCAGCTCAAACTTTTAATACTTTTTTATGCCGCTTCGACCTTTGTTTACCATTCGTGGGGAGACACACGAGCATGTGGTTTGCTCCACGCAATATGATGAGTAAACATTGACTAGATGATATCTCACTTGCTTTTGAAGTTGCTTTGCCGTGGTCGGGAACACAAACACACATTTGTGTGTAATTACGTTCTTGCATACATATATGTACATAGTAGATATGTACACATGCACCTTTGCTGCTCACTGCTTGTCTTATCACGCCAGCGACATTGTTGTTTGTACGAGTTGTTGCCGAGCCCATTCATCTCCATTTTATTGAGCTTCCCCGAASCCCTCTGTATTTAATTTTATGTTGCTCGACAGCCCGATATTTCTCCTAGCCGCGGCTTTTATGTGCGCATCAAGGGTTGTGTGTGCGTGCTGTTTTATTTGTCTGTCATTGGCCTGCTTCTATTTGGTCTATCTAGCTGCCATAAAGAAATGCATATTACCGCTGCATTTGCACACACACATATGTACATACATATCTGTACAGAAATTATGTATTATTTGTGTACACAAATGATACTCTTCTTATTTAGTCACTTGCCGTGCCTGCTTCGTTATAGTCGCAGCCACACTTGACTCACATTTGGTGCACGTCTATCAGCACCTCCTGTGTGAGACGTCGCTCGAGCGCCCATTCCTTGGCGTTGTTTTAAATATTTGCTCCTAAAAATAGCTGCGACAAGACTTTGCTCTGGCTCCTGCTTGCTTGCCACAATGTGTTGCACACATATTGCTAGTGTAAATAGACATCTGCATATTCGTTCCATTTACTTACAGTGGCTCGCAGAAGTGTTGACGCAACAGTTTTTCGCTTTGATTGCAGTTTCGTTTTCAGTGCTGCATTTCGCTCCTTTTTAATAAAAATAGTATTGTTGTAGAGGTAGAAAAATAATTCTGTGCCGAGTTGACAGTTCTTAGTCGGATAAGAGTTCGAGTCCGTTCCGGTTACTTAGACTCGACTGCCACTCTAAGGGTAATGAAAATAATGGTGGTTGTTGTTATAACGGGTACCTAGTCCCCGTTTGGGTGGTAAGGATAAAATGGATTGTCGCCGGCGTAATCTAAGGGAAAGTCCAGGAAATGTGTCGTTTCGACGTGGTCGGTGTAATGAGTGGTGCTTGTTGGGTATGCATGCCATGTAGTTTCTGGGTGGGAATTTCTTGTTCTCATGCTCCTTCCCCTCTCTTTTAATACCGAAATATTGGTTCTTATATACTCCACTTCGGTTTGAAAAAAAAATTTTTTTTTTTTAAACGTGCTGTTTGGACGTGGTCGGCTCATAGGGAGAGGGGTGTTCAATGAGTAGGGTTAGCGGGGCATGCAACGATACTTATATTTGATATGTCGGGTCGATACCAGATAAGTGGAAGTTTTAAGTATTCAGAAYGAAGCTGCGCAAGTGTTACTCTCGAAATCCATCTTCAACCCTGGTACTGATAACCCTTTTGCTGTAAGTCTTCCAATGTGATTAACCGAGACCCTGCTGAGAAATTATTATTTCTTCGAAAAGTTCAGCACAATTTGTGAAAAGCACTCGTATCTTTCAGGAGCAAGTTTGCGATTCACTGTTTCTATGAGAATTTAGCTTCATGTTCGTAATTGCTGTCGTGGCAAGCTGGCGCATTTGTTCCGTGCATTGTTTGCAGCTGCGAAATATGGTGCAATGTCAACCATTGTGTCGAGTTGAGAGCGAACTGTTCAGGATTCATTGCCGTTTTATAAAATATAAAAAAGAACAGTGTGATATCACTGCCGTGTTTGTCGCCCATCCTTAGCGAGTTCGCCTCACTGTGTTCTTGCTAAAAGAAGCTTACGCACTCAGTACTTTCTAAATTCTTTAGCGTGTAAATAGAAATTTATGCATGTTTTGGTTGAAAAATGAAGCAGTTCCTTTAAAAAAAGGGTATTTTATATTTCTATATGTTCCTTCTATATGTTCATATTCATATAATGTCCGCATTATGGTGGTTGTTGTTGTTGTAACGGCAATTCTGCCGAGTTGACAGTCCTTGGCCGGATAAAAATCCGGGTCCGTTCCGGTTTTCGTAGACCCGACTGTCGGGCTGCTCCGGCTGTTGAGTTCCTTATCTGAAGCTTAAACTGGATTGTTGGACTACAYATCTAAAGAATAAGGAGTGTGTTAAAAAAATAACGGGAGTTTTAAAATTAAAGTTTCGCTAGTTTGGAGATAAGATGAGAGATCATATATATGTTATGATTTTTATTTTAAGGTTTGGAGTCAAATTTGCCTCATATTCGCCAGATATGACTCCGTTTGACTTTCTATAATTTCCAAAAATAAGAACATTTTACAAGCATTGATGGCCTTAAAAATGCATAGCTGAAACAACTATCCCAAAAATCAAGTTTGAGAAGTGTTTCCACGATCCAAGAATATGGACTAATTGCAAGGCGACAACATTGATGAAGACAAATGAATAAATATTTTTTTCAAAAACAAAAATTCTGTTTTTTTTAACACACCTCATACATTATCTACAATTTTTTTGCTTTGCCTTTTAAAACTCTCTGAACTCCCTTCCTTTCACTTATAACCTCTCAAAATATTGARCAATCTTTTCTCTTTAYTTATGTTGCCTCAGTTTTTGTCATWGTAAATATTTCAAAACCACGACTTTAGTTATCATAAATAATAGCCGAAGYTTTGTGSAACCAGYTTCCTCAAACATTCATTGACAACACTCYTTCTTACTCACTCTCGCTCGCTAGCTCGGACTATCAGTTTCGTGCGTTGCAGTTAGAACAGACTTAATTAAAATTAATTCAAATAATTTGAAACTTTCCAGAGCATACTAATGAACTTTTCTGCGCTTCCCTTCCTTGTGTCTTCCTTTCGCAGTTTCGTTCTTTGCATTTTACTTTTTACCTCGCATTTCCACCAACTCCCCAAAGTGAGTTGGCCGCTTGCAGCGTCACCCACACGCCGCCACATCCTTAGCATTATCATATCATAGTATCGCTGTCCACCTCATTCCACTTTTGGCCATTTGGTTGCCGCCAACGCTGCGCCACTTTAATGCCGCAAACTTATACATCTTGCTCGGTAATGCCGGTAAAGTAATAAAAGCCCGTAAAACTGGGTTAGTAACTACTTTGCCACATCGCTGCATAGTTTTGCATGGGCCATCGATCGCTTTGGCGTGCYGCGCCTGCACCGCAACGCCCGCAACACCTGTGCTATGTTGGCTCACGATAAGTTTGTTGTTGGCGGCAAAGATAACAGCTGTCAATATCTGTATATACTATATATGCACCTTAGCGSTTGGCTATTTACCTCCGCAAGTGGACAGCGCTTGCAAGCGGTGGAAGAAGGCGGCCGTGCAACAAA